TGAATGTCGGACACCTACCATGTGCTGGTCACTGTGCCAAGTGCTTTCTACTCTCTAACTCGTTTAACCCTCACCACAAGCCTCCTGTCAATTATGACCTGCCCTGTTCTCAGGGGGTTTACAGGAGAGTGGGAACTCAAGACAGCAACCTTGTCAGGTAAGAGCGATTTGTTTCAATAGCTTGAGACAGCTGTAGGAGACACGCCCCGGAGAAGCAAGCCGATTGGTTCATTTAACAGATGGTTTCTGGGCCATCCCCCTGTGACAGGCCCAGGCTGGGGACTGTTGGTCCATTTTACAAGTGAATAAACAAGCGCTCAGAGTACCTTCACAAAGGCACAGACTTGCCGTTGGTAGAGCTGGAGCTGGAAGTCGGGGACTCCAGATTTCTGAAGATCCCTGGGATGTGCCAGAGGAGAGGGGTCTGATGGCCGTGAAGAAAGGGAAAGTGGATGACCGGGTCCACGTTGAAATGGGTGGGCATGAGAGCAGAAAAGGCATCTTGGTGGCAGGGCGGCCCATTTAGGTGGGTGCAGAACTCATGGCAGGGGAGGTGGGCACCGGTGAACTGGAAAGCGGTCGGAGCCAGAGTAAGAGCCTATGGACTGTGTGAGCCTGGGAGACAGGTGACCCTCTCCTTCGCTTCATACCTTAAAGCGATCTTCCATTATTGCGTGGTGTTTAAGGGAGGCACCGTGAAGCTCCACCTGTAGGCTTTTGGGCTGTGTGACTCTGGACAAGCCCCTTCACCTCTGAGCCTCAGTTTCCTTTTCTCTGAAGTAGGCATCTCTAAGTGAGATACAGTAAGTCCCCTACATACGAACCTTCAAGTTGCGAACTTTCAAAGATGCGAACATTCATTTGCGTGTCCAGTCACGTAAGTTAGTCCACGTGTCTGGCGTACATTGTCACGTGCGTGCATCCTACAAGTGGTTGTGCTTTTGTGTACAGTACTGTATAGAGTACAGTAGTACAGTATCTTTATTTCAAACCCAGGATGTCCGGAAGCAAGCATAAAAGTGGCGGTGTTGTAGCTGGTACTGCTAAGAAGTGCCAAGCGATAACGATGGAAACGAAAGTGAAAATAATTGAGAGAGTGGAGCGAGGCAAAAAGATGGTTAGACGTTGCTCGTTCTTATGACATGAATTGTTCAACCATCGGCACGATTCTAAGAACAAGTACAAGATCATGGAGCATGTGAAGTCCGCTGTGCTGATGATGTCGACAGTGATACTGAGGAAGTGCGGGAAAGTGATGGAGGAGACGAAAAACTTCTCAGCATCGGATGCAGCAGCAGCATCAGAGTTGAGTCCCGCTCAGCTTAATGCTGATTCGAGAGAAAGCTGAAAGCTTTTATGAAGACCTGAAGAAGAAACACGGCGAAGAATCAGAGGGTGCATCTTTTAATGCCAGCCTTGGCTGGTTTTATCGGTTCAAGGCTAGAGACAGCCTTCGCAAGGTAAAAGTAAGCGGCAAGGCAGCGAGTGCAGATATGGTAGCTGCCGGGGATTTTCTTGAATTCTCTTCGTCCCAGAGAAAGGACTAAGAGAGACAAGAGGAAGAAAAAGTAACTGAAGGACCAAAGAGATTCACGATGCAGGAAACGGCAGGGGATTTTCTTTATTTCAGGAGGCACTGTTCAGTCTCTGAGGCCGAATGTAGAAAGGTACACAGAGGTTACAGCAGCCGTGCAGAATGCAGTCCAGCACTACCGTGTCATCTGTGACGAGAAAAAAAGAGCTACTAGCCAGACATCACTGGATCGTTTTTTTCAAGAGGGTAGATAGAATTGAATCCAGCAAGGAACCAGAACCTGTGCCATCGACGTCAGGTGTGAGTGAAATTGCAGCTTGCCCTCCGGCTCCTATCGCTGACGATCCTTCAGCTCTGCCATCTCCCACCTCCTCTCCCTCGTCCAGTCGGTAACTCTCCTTGCCCGTTCACTCGATGCCCGCCCCTGGATGCCAGCTGTTGTACTGTACTACTGTACTTTTCAAGGTACTGGACTGTAAGATTAAACATGTTTGCTTACTTATTTTTTCTTTTTTATGTATTATTTGTGTGAAAAGTATTATAAACCTATTACAATACAGTACTATATAGCTGATTGTGCTAGTTGGGTACCTAGGCTAACTTTGTTGGACTTACGATCAAATTGGACTTATGAACACACTCTCGGAACAGAACTTGTTCATATGTAGCGGACTTAACTGTAAACCTAACGTAGCAAAGGGACAGAACAGATGCTCAATAAATGTGGTTAAATATAAGACAGTTTCCAGTTTCCAGCTGCCTGGGTCCAACTCCCAGCTTTGCCATTTACCAGCTGTGTGTCCTTGGGCAAGTGACTTACCCACTCTGTGTTTCTGTTTCTTCCTCCTTAAAATGGGGATAATAATAATAGTTCCTACCCTAAGAGGTAATTTTTTTTTTTTTTTTACTGTATTACGTTTTCATTTTTATATTTTTTAGATCTTTATTGGAGTATAATTGCTTTACAATGTTGTGTTAGTTTCTGCTATACAACAAAGTGAATCAGCTATATATATACATATATCCCCATATCCCCTCCCTCTTGAGCCTCCCTCCTACCCTCCCTATCCCACCCCTCTAGGTTGTCACAAGGCATCGAGCTGATCTCCCTGTGCTGTGCAGCAGCTTCCCACTAGCTGTTTTACATTTGGTAGTATATATATGTCAACGTTAATCTCTCACTTCGTCCCAGCTTCCCTTGCCCCCGCACCGTGTCCTCAAGTCCGTTCTCTAGGTCTGCATCTTTATTCCTGCCCTGCCACTAGGTTCATCAGTACCGTTTTTTTTTAGATTCCTTATATATGCATTAGCATACGGTACTTGTTTTTCTCTTTCTGACTTACTTCACACTGTATGACAGACTCTAGGTCCATCCACCCCTAAGAGGTAACTGTGATATGAGTTTGATACATACATTCACGTGAGTTGGTACAGATAAAGAGCTTAGCACAGCACCTGGCCACGTAATATGTCTTCAATAAACAGTAGCTACAATTATATTTCATCTCTCATGTTGCCAGATAAATAAGTAGCAATTGATCATTAAATAAGGCTTTTAAAGGTTTTTTTCTCCCCAACATCCAGTGGCACAGGCGGCAAGCATTGGTGCTATAGGAGCTAAAAGGAGATCATGGGAACTTGCGGTGGGCAGGTCAAGATGTTAAGGATGGGAAGATTCGGGTGGGGAGGCAGGGAAAGGGGTTCACAGAGGCATTATCTGGGGGACTGTGCAAAGCTTGGATGAGAACCGGGTGGGAGACAGTGAGAGGAGAGCTGGGTGCAGGGGCACTGCTAGGGGAGAGATGGGGACACCTCGAGGGGGGTGTCAGGTGTTGGCCTAGGCATGGTGACCATGTGACCGCAAGACTCGGGGTGAGTAATCTGCTTTCTAGCCTGGGGAAGAGGGGATGCCCAGGCCTCCCTAGCTAACTTCAAGGGTTTGTATGAGGATCAAAAGAGGATACGGAGGTGGGAGTGTTTAAAACCACCAACACTCCACGAGGATATGCAGCCTCGCCCCACGTGAAGGAGGGCTGGGTACGCTCTTGTGCATGGCTTCCAACGCACCACCCAAGTCTGGGTTTGATTTTAATGACTCTCCTCATTAACTCTGCATCTCCAGTAAATGAGAATTCCTATAAAACACACTCTCAACAACCTTCCCATTCCTTCCATTCCCTTGTGATATTATTCCTCTCACAACTCTTGTGTTAGTGTTTACCACTTACAGTTTTATTGTATCTTAGCACGTTATAGAATGCTTTTAAAACATCACTTGTTCTGTTGACAAAAAAACAAGTGCTAAGATGCAGCATCAGGCCTCTAGCATGTTCCTGTGGGTTTGGGGAAACTAGGGCTGCAGAAGCCACATGAAACAGCATGTGACCACCACCCTCTTCATTCCAGACCCAGCTGATCAGCACCATTCCTCTCCCTCCAGACCTCCCAGCCTGTCCTGTCTTATGCCTCCATGCTTTTACCTGTTCTCTCTGCCTAGAACACCCTCCCCAACCTCACATCACATAAAACTCCTATTCACCCTTCAAAACCCCTTTCCAGTATCCTCTCTTGGAAGCTTTCAAACGACTCTTCCATATAGGAACTGCTCAGTTTCTGTCCTTGTGCATTTAAGAATTATTGCACACGTTACACTCTGCTACAATTATTCACATATTTAAACTTCCAGACCTCGAGCCTTCCTTCACACCCAGAGCTGCCATTGGCCTTGGCTTAGTTATCTCTGTATCCCCGGGGTCCAATTAGAGAGCCTGGACGAGAATAAGAGCTTCATAAGTATGTCTGCAATAAACCTAACTAAACCTCGGTCCTATGTCCAGAGGTTCCATGGCTTATGAATTCTAATTCGTGAATTTTTCCTACAACTGAACATTTGAAGAAAATGCATTCCTCCACTCACCATCAAAAGAGGCTAGAGGAGAAGTTTGAGGGTTCAAGGGCATTTCAAACAGCCCCCGCCACCTCACCTGTTTCTAAGAGGAAGCCCCCTGCAGATCCACCCTAGGTCAGCGTCTCTCATTTTATCACGACCATTTTATCACTGCATTTTAAAACTGCAGTGAAAAGTACTTTTTACATTGAGACACACTGAACACTTACATCAGAAACAGAGCTTTCGTGGAGCAGTATTCACCCCTTGCTGTGGCATTGCTCTCTGTTTCTTCTTTCTTTTCTTTTCTTTTCTTTCTTTTTTTTTTTTCTTTAATCTCTGGTCACCACCTAATGAATTGATTCCATGTGTCTTTAGTCGGGTTGGTTGCAACCCAAAATTTGAAAGACACTGCTCTAAGCCTTCAGCTACTATAACCAGAGAAGGCTTCTCTGAGGAACCTGGGGCCCTGAAGGGCAGCTCAGGAGCAGGCGGGCATGGGGTGAGCAGGGGGTGGCTAAAGGTGAGAGGTGTAGGGACAGCTCTGGTGAGACTTAACTCTCTTCCCTCTCATTGTAGCCGAGCCCCTGCCGTTGATGGACCTGTGCCGGAGATGCATCCGCCTGGCCCTGGGCCGCCAGCGCCTACGGGACATCAGCTCCCTGCCCCTGCCTCAATCTCTCAAAAACTATCTGCAGTACCAGTGAGCCGGGGATGGAGGGGCAGCGGAGGGCACCCACAGACCCAGGCCTGTCGCTTCATGGTCACACTGTACATCAGGAAGAATTCTCCCTCCTCACCCTGGTTCCCCAGGACATTCACTTCTTTGAAAGGCCAGGACATCTTCCCAACTTTGAAAATGAAATGTCTGTTGCCAACAGTATTTGCTGCCTTGGAAGCAGCACTCCCAAGTCAGACACCTCCTTGGAAGCCAGAAAGAGCCCGAAGCCTGCGCTGGGTGGAGATCCTGCCCGCTGAGCAGGACACAGCAGCCAAGCACCCACCGGCATTGATCCGAGAGCCTGTTTCCTTATTCGAGAGAATGAATAAAACATTTGGGCAGGACACTTTCCGTTGTGTGCCCCGCTGCAGACAGGGCCAGGGGAAAATTGGCCAGCTCTGGGAGAACATTGCCTCTGAATAATGCATGGTGAAAGCAGCTTGATGCCTGTGCCCCTCTGGGTCCCCACCCTTCCCAGGGCAGCAGGATTGTCATGACACTTTAGGACTTTGTGCCCCTTTGAGAGACTGTTACCTAGGGATGCCCAGCTGTGGAATTGGCAAGTGGACAAAGCAGTGTTGAGACACCTCCCAGCTTACCTCTCTGAACGTTGTTTACTTCCCCTCTCACTCGCCGTCCTTCCCCACCCGGACCCCCAGTCTCTGGATGCCCAGGGCACCTCTATTCAGGGAAGCTGAGTCTGACAGATTCACCCCAGGGAATGAGTGTATCCTTTATTATTATTGTTTTAAGTAGCAATGCCTTTTAAAAGAGTGTGGTGAGGGCAGTACTTAGTCCAAAGGTGCTAATGGGGGAATTGGAGGCCTTGTGACACCCACGGCGGGGGTGATGTCCACGGGCTGGGGAGGCTTCCAGGGGGGCTGAGGGTCTCCAGGCAACCGTCCATTCAGGATGCAGTCTGGCTGCCACAAAGCTTTATTTGAGCGAATTATTTTTTCACTTGAGGAGACTTGTACGAGTTTGTTTCTGTTTCACGTGTGTCTGTCTGTGTGTGTGTGTGTGTGTGTGTGTGTGTGTGTGTGTGTGCGTGCGTGTGATGTGCTGTTTATTTATCAGCTTGGGGCCATGGGGGCAGCTTTGTAACTGGAAGGGTGGATGTAAGGCATCTTTTCCACCAGCCCCAGCCTGTCCTCCCCGCCCCCCCCC